TGATGTCAAAAATTGAATTTAGATCCACTAAACATATTGTTCCCCAAAAGGAATGCAATGCATAATAAAGATCACTTTATGCTAGAATGTCGGAATTATAGACATAGTCAAAGTTTAAGATATTTTGCACCCTTTGAAAAAGTAAAATGTTTCCATGTAATTAAGGCAAAAGTGATTTCTTTTGTTTAATACATCTAAATAATGTTCCTATTTCTCCTTTCTTTCTCCTAGCACATCAAAAATAATATTTTATAATAAATATTAGTAAAAATTAATATATTGTGAGTAAATATTAGCAGTAGAAATAAATATTACTTTTAGGGTTCAAAGACCCTAGAGGTCTAAGATAATCTAATCAACCATACAGTAACAGTCTACAACATCCCTGAGAAATGGTAACAAAGCTCCTTTTTAATACTACCAGGAACTCATTATGTCACCATACAACATGCTCCCCTATTGGCCAACTCTATTTCAAACAGTTGTTAAAAAATGTGCAGTAGATGGGCCGGCCCCGTGGCATTCTCGGGAGAGTGCGGCACTGGGGGACGCTCCCGCTGCGGGTTCAGATCCTATATAGGAATGGCCGGTGCACTCACTGGCTGAGCGCAGTGCGGGTGACACCACACCAAGGGTTGCAATCCCCTTACCGGTCACGAAAAAGACAAAAAAAAAAAATGTGCAGTAGAAATCTGCCTCCCCATAACATCCTCTAAATCTTTGATGTTACCTCCAGTTTAGGACCTTTCCAACTCACTCTGGAATCCTTATACAGAATCAGACCCACACTGGGGAATCAGTGCCTAAGGGATTTGTATGTATTTGAAAGAAATGCCTGATTAAAGCCAAGTATTTCCAGAGAAATATCATATGACCAGCCCACAAAATGCTTCTTATACTGTAATATACAGTGGGTAGGGTCTGGTCTTCTGGCCTACAGGTGCAGAAATTTGATCTGACAAAACTGCAGAATGGAGTGGGCTAAAAAAAGAAGACTTATGCAACCATTCCCCCACCCAAAAAATACAGAAAACCAGTCAATTTACTCAAATGAAGTATATAATTGTCAAGTGGATCAGATATTTATGTTGTACTGTCAAAGCCATTCCCAGTTTGTAGACTACATAGAAGCCAAATTATTCTAAGACTATTCATAAAGCAGAGCACCAGAACAAGAGAAATGGATTAACTGAGTAAGTACATTTAATAGCATTAGACACTAACAGTCTGGTGTCCCTGTCTCTGCAACTGGAACTCTAGGTTTGGTAGTTTAGGTTGGCTTTTCAGGACACACCACCCTGGACAGCACTTGAACAGATGACACAACTTGACTTTCAGAAGCTTCTTTGGCCAAGCTCTAACCCTTGTCCATAGGGAAACATTCTTTTTTAGCATTTACTTGTATGTATTTGTGGGATACAGTGTGTCATTTCAATACATACATATACTGCACAGTGATTCAGCTTGTGGTTTTGCAGTTTTGTACCTATTAGGGGCAGACACATTCTTTCTTTAGAAATATAGTTTTAGTCAAATTTTATACCGTCATATTTTTTCTTTGATCTATATGTGTGTTTTTGATAGATTAATCCACTGAACAACATCTTATTTCCAGCTTTGGGGGGAAGGGAAGGCAGGGGTAATGGTAAATACACACACACACACTGAGGACTCTATTGATTTAAGTCTGGCTCTGCCCCTTTCTTCCCACTTACATTACTTGATTTCCAGTAAGGTAAAAACTTGCCATCTTCTCTGTCTCTTTTTCTTTCCTTGTCTCTTTCCCTGCAAGCACCGGGATAGAAACCATATCTGTTGTACTATAGAAAGCCCACTTCACTAGCTCTTGACTGGAGTGTTGACTAGCAATGGACATGAAGCCCTATTAGCTCTGCTGCACATAACTCGGATTGTCCAAATTTAAATGAGTCAGGATCTCTTTCAGAACAAACCATTTGTAAACATTTAAACAGGAAACTGCTTGAGGATTATAAACAGAGATACGGAGAGTTTCTACCATTGCCACTATCCCTCTTATCAGCACCGCACTCTACCGAGTGAGCCACAGGCCGGCCCCTCTGCCACTATCCCTCTTAGAAGAAAGAACACAACCCTTACATTAAACCTCTTTTTAAATGGAGGACAGAGAAATCGATGACTAAATCTCCAACCACTGGTGGAAGCATGCATCACTGTTACATAATTTTAAATCTTTATGTGCTTTATTATTGCTTGAATATCCACTGTACTTAAACATCAGGATCACAAATACTCACCATGGTCCATACACATATTTGTTTGGGATATTAGATTTCTGTGTTTCTCTTCTTCCTAATATACTGAAATCTCATTTCTAAATACATCTATTGCATTACTAGAAGTGGTTATATATTCAGGTTTTCAATCAACTGGTATACTTGGTTGGACTGACTATAAATTTGTTGACATATATTGATGATTCCTCATTTTCTTGCTCAGGGATCATTTCTTCTACTCATTTATTTTCAATCTCTCTACTTTCTTATTTGACAGTATCCAATGAGCAGCATAACAGAGCACTCCAAGCTCATAAGGAATGGTATAAACTAATTAGCAGATTTTATGATGGAAACTATTTCCCTTCCACGTGATTACCCTGGCTGGGTAACAAACTTTGTGAAAATATCCAGCTCTTTCCACACTAAGGCAGCAGTTTTATTTTGCCCTGAGACTTCAGCTCATAATTGTGGATATGCTACAAATCCAGAAACAAACTGTCAGTATGGGGTGAGGTACAATGTTAAAAACAAAATAGCTTACAAAATGGATTCTGAATTAAGAAAATTCTTGATCTTCTTTTGCAACTGACAGAAAGAAAAATAGCCCTAGCAAGATGTGTTTGAAAAATATGATTGTAATGACAGCGTATAACTGAAATGTAGGGAAGTCACAGAAAACTCCCTTGTATGCAGGTGTGCAGAAGCATTGAAGAGTTACTAACAAACACTAAATAGAAGTGCTGAATGGTTTGTTATGGGAACAAGATCCAGAAATGAGACTGAAAATCAGTGCTGGTTCATTACATCAGCAATGGGACCAATAAACCCCACTGCTAAAGTCTTCCTTAAACAGCAGGTGCATGGTCTGGCCACTCTAGCTTGTAGCTGCTTGGCCCTGGCACAGAATGAGCCCGGTTGTCTCCATGAATTCATAAATGCCCACAAGACATCTCAAGGTGCATCTAAATGCACCTGCTTCCATTGTGGACCCCTGTTCCCATGTTGGAAATTTCACCCAACACTCTCCACTTCAGTTTTGTTGTGTTTGCTTACTGCAGGTGTAATTTGCTTACAAAACGCCATGCCACAAAATTCCAAAGTTACTTGAAAAAATAGGAGAGAACCCAAAAGAGAAAGTTCTAGACACTCTTAGTCTTCTCCATGAAAGTAGTTCATTCAGTTTAATGGTAATTACTGATGTAAAAATATTATAATGCTAACAAAGGATCACTAATAATCATAGCTAAAGAGACACAGATGAAATAATGAATGATTTAAATATCTTCTGCAAACTCTCAAGCATACTTATGGTAAATCCCTTACTAATTCGGGTATGTAACTTGAGATATAGCCCATCATAACAATGTACATAAATATCCCTACACAAGGAAGTACTAAACATATTTAACAATTTATTTCAAACTTTAATGTTTTGCAGATGGCATCTAGATCTTAAAATGTATACATATTTTACAGCTCTGCTTAAACATAAATAATACATTTACCTGATTCACTAATACCAGAGGCACTTTTTTTCTTCTGATGAATATGCTCATCATCCACGACTGCCAGCAAAAATTATAAGGAATACTATAATGAAAAACTATACCCCTGTGTGGAAATAATAGAAAATAATATATTCCATTAAAATAATAATTTGCTTGCAATTCTCTATTACTGCTGACCAATTACTGTGGTGTTAAAGAGTACATTTAGATTGAAAAGTATATTTAGACTGAGGTGACAAAAGTTATATTTCTCATATGTTTGGGCAGAAATTTTCGAGAATATCAGATTTCAGATTATAGAAAAATAACTCAAAAATGGCAAATCTTTTTATTATAAAATGGACATATAAAGAATCAAAAGACCACTTAGAGATGGCATTACAAATATGAAACAGATGTATTTGGACTAATGAAGGTCAGGAAAAATATTTAAATATCTATATAAAAACACGAGAAAAATAAAACTTTTTGTTAATGGCAGGGGAAATGGTTCATTTTTAATCACACGAGCTTTTTATCATAAGTTTAAATTTCACATTCTATTGCTAACATAGGCTAAATATTATGCATTAAAATTCACTTATAGCATTCAGTATGTACTGTGTGAATGCCTACATAAGTGATTCTGAAATCATGTTTGCTCTTTCAATAGTTTTATTTTGGTAATAAAAAACATGGATGGATGCTAGTAAAAATCTTATTCACAGTAGATTTTAAAAGCTGGAATAGTACATTTGTTGAAATCTGCATTTGGTTTGGAAAATGTCTGCTTACCAATTGAATGTGGCCATATTTTAACTTTTAAGCTCTCTCATTGAGAAAATATCAAGGTATTACAGCAATTTACTCTTAGAGACATTATGCTGGGCTTTGAAATGCAAAAAACAGGATATTTCTTTTTGTATTATTTTATGATCAATGTACAGTCTCTGTGCAAAAAAAAAAATTAAAGCTGTCTGACGACTTACAGAAACATCACTGAATGTTAAAGATGTAGGAAATTGCATAAAAGCATGAAAAGCACTGGATAATTTTGCAGTTTCATCTCTAAACACAATTGTAAAGATGTCTGTCTTTCAATTCTCTCTTCCTCTTTCTTCTAAAGCATGGCCTTTTACTTCTTGCCCTTTTAAATATCTTTGCCTAATGTAGCTTTGCTTCTTAATGCACTGGTTGATCTTACTGGGCTAAGGAAGTATTTACAGGGGGTGCTTGCTTTTATCTGTGTTCACAGAGAATGCTAACAAATTAGAAGAAAGTGCCAGAGAACACCACGTACCTTGTCCAGAACATTACAATGGCTTCTGTATGCACGGGAAGTGCGAACATTCTATCAATATGCAGGAGCCATCTTGCAGGTAACGTTTTCACTCTTAACTTTCAAAATGTATAAAATGAAAATGTAGAAACTAAATTCTAGATGTTTACAAAGAATTGGTCGGTATTGCGCTTGAATGGGTGATCAGCAGCAAAACTTGTTTCTGCCTCTCCTGCATACACACACACACACACACACACACACACACGCGTGCATTAGAAAAACCACAAAATGTGTGTGCCTTACACATTCAAGTACTATGTAGCACATCACTATATATACATAAATTTTACTTTGTGATTTACAAGCTCCTTAAAGGCACAGGCTCCTCTATTACTCACCACTCTTTCCCCTGAACATAGAACAGTGCTTGGCACTTACCAGGTGTTCATAAATATTTCTCAAACCAATAGATGAAGCCTTATGTACATTAGATAACATAGTTGCTTTGGGGAGGTCATCTTTTCCAAAGTCCTCAGGTCTTCTAGTACATATCATCAATCGTGGTTTTGCTTTGCTGGGCACTCTATTTTCTAAGGATCTGCTATCCCTGGAGCCTTGCATCGTGAAATTATTTAGCCACATCACCACAGTTTCAAACCCAGTAGAGACATGAAGAAATTGCTTGTCTAAATTTAGTTTATAAATATAAGTATGTGCTATGTATTTATGTTCTAGCACACAATTATTTCAGAGATGATAAAGCTAAAATGAAAAAACAAATGTGTTCTTATTTAAATTAATATGCAAGCAGCATATGATGAAATAGGTTGTGTTTTGATAAACAACAAAGGGCCTCTTTCTCCCTCTCTTTCTCTCTCATCCAGAACTGTCTTCCTTTGATGTTTCTCTTCACTGAATACGCTAGCACCTGCCTTCTAGTGAAGCCAGGCAGAGTGAATATAACTGAGACGTTACTTCTGCTGCCCCCTCAATCCTCAGCAGTCACCATTATTAAACGCTTCCTGATGCAGAGAGGAAATATCTCAGGATGTAGTTAGGAGAAATTCAAAGTGAAGTACTAAAAGAGTTCCACAAAATCAATGACAAGTTGATCCCTTTAGTATTGGGTTTCTTTTTTTATGAGCTGTTTTCTCATTTCATTGTCAATGCTAATTTTAATGTCAGATTATCTACCCGAGCTTTCAGGTGAGGGTTGAGCGAGTGAGAGGCAACATTCATTCTCAGATAGAGAGTGCATGGGCTTGTTTTGCAGAACTGTATTGCCCACCTCTTAATTACTTTTTTCTAACAAAATTTAACTGTCTGACATCAGCAGATGACTTTAAGACCAGCCAATTAAAGAAATGATTCTAACTGTACCTCTGGCCCTAATATTTTTTCAAAATTTATTCTGGCAATAGCATAAGGAATTTTTTATCCAAAACATTCCAAATAAATAAATAGATATATTTTTGTACCCATGTCATCAGAAACAAACCTTTTCTCAAGTAAACATGTTAATTTGGGTTGATTAAAGATCAAATTAAATAATGTAAAGCTCACCTGAAAAAATATAGAAAGAACAATTTTCCCTGGACATATATGTCAAAAAGTTCATGAAAAGATTCATAGTATCTATTTTTTCACAAACTTTTTGAAGTACTCGTATTATCTCTGAATATTGCCATCAAAAACAAATTATCTAGCAATTCTCCTACTTCAAAATCCATTATTATAAATATAAAAAGAAACAACTTTCTTCCAGACTACAAACATAAAGAGATCTTGTTGAAAATAAGTAATTGAGAACTATATCTACAAAGTAGTATTTTTTTTTTGAAAGGGAAACAAAAAGCCTTAATTTTGTGATGAAGATAAATACCTATCAGCCAACTAAAAAGGTGAATCCAGCAGCTACAGGTAACTGGACCCTATCATTTCTTCCAGGTGTGATGCGGGTTATACTGGACAACACTGTGAAAAAAAGGACTACAGTGTTCTATACGTAGTGCCTGGTCCTGTACGATTTCAGTATGTCTTAATCGCAGCTGTGATTGGAACAATTCAGATTGCTGTCATCTGTGTGGTGGTCCTCTGCATCACAAGGTCAGTAACTGCACTCGGTGGCACCCAAATAAAGGGATATGTTGTTCCTCCTTTTTTTAACCAGATCCCTCTGATTACAAGTCCCTCCATGTACTCTGCAGCCATCAGTTCTCCATGTGTCCTATTTCCTCATGATAAACACCATTTGAATAGCCTAATGGAAAGGCATGGATTTTCATGTTGAAGTGGTACAAATTATTTTCCTTATTTTGCATTACAATGAAGATTATTTATTTTCTAAGCAAAGGTCTTTTTTCCCCTCTAACGTATAATGTCAAATTTTGTTTAAATATGCTTTTCTCTTTTAACTATTAAAGGTCAATCTTCATTCAGACTACTATCAGACTATTTAAATGACTAGCGTATCTTTAGCTATTCAGATCAGTAAGCCAAATGAGGTCATGAGGACAGGACAGATTTTATACAAGGGCTAAAAAAGTACTAAATTATAACTCTCATTTATAGCATTTTTATTTCCAAGAATAACTCTCAGATATTATTGATTTGAACATATTGTGGTATAGATGACAAATATGTTTTTGGCCTAAGATGACAAAATAGCTTTTAATCACAAAATGCAAAAAAAAAAAAAGTTGTAATGAGAAAGATTGTTATAATGAAAATCTCTGATAAATGGAAACATGCAGCAAATATCACAATAAGCTTTTATATCAAACTCCCAGTCCAATCAAAAGGTGATTGTTTCATGGAGAACCAGGTGGAGAGAGATACAGAGGTTTCATCCAGTTTCAACAGAAAAGAAAACCATAATCGATTAGTGATGTCTGACATTGGGGTTTAGAGTAAAGGGGTGAGGACAGGTACTTGCTTAATTTCATTAGCAGGCAAATCCATAGTAACCAAGAATTATATTCTAACCAAATGCATATCATTTATATATTATGTAACCAGAAAAGTTAATGAAAATACTTCTTTCTAACCTTATTCACTCTTCTTTAGAAAGTTCCAAGGAAGTTTTTCAAGGTTTTCAGCAAATGCACAAGGCATTTAGACTTTCATTCATTTGTACAACTCTACATTAAATCAGAATGTTTCCCAAAAAGTTATTTTCAAAAGACAAGAAGAAGATAAAAAAATGTATCATGTCTTTAGAAAATAAAGGCCATAATACATCTCAGTATCTGTATTGCACTATCTTCTTAAGGACAAGTGTGGCATATGCTCTTGAAAAGACAAAATATGGTTCATAAATCCTTGCCTGGCCTAAAGGCTTAAGGGAAGATCATCAACTGGAGCTTTGTGCTCCTCTAAGCCAAGTTGAGTTCATCAACTCGACTCTCACGTTTAGATGCCAAGTGAGTCAATGGATTATATTAAAATAGATTCTGGGGAACATAAAGATAACTCAAGAAGCCAAAAATACTGAGTATAAGAAGAAAAGATAGAAAAGAATCTAAAGCATAGAAAACTATGCTATATTACTCTAAAGGTCTTGAGCTTTCTAATATCTAGACAATACCAGTACATGAAAAATAAAACTCATATTTAATGGATATAATCTCATAACAATTAGATTGTGATTTCATGTGCTAACAAAAATACAAAACTTTAAATACTTTAGCAGATATTTTCAACTCTGTTAATAATCACAGTCCTGTTCTCATACATTATAAAAACAACTAGAATATGCAGGGTCCTTATCTCATCAGGAATTGTGTATGTAAAATTGAGTGTGTGTATAATATACACACACACACGCACGTGAATGAGTACCCCCACACACACACACACACACTCACACACACATGCACATATACACATTTAATAAGATTACAAAGAAACAATCATCCTCATTTTCCAGATAGGGACCCTGAGGTATAAGAAGTCAGCAAATCGCTGAGCTCACATGGATGAGCAATAAAAGTAGAAATGGCATCCAGGCTGTCGAGTGTCAGAGCCTGTGCACTTAACCACTCCTCGTGCTGCCCCATGGCTGTTATGATTTTCTGTATTGATGCTCAAGACTACCTAAACGAAGCTCCAAATTAGAGTAGGCTATTTGTTCAAGGCATATGACCTTTTTCATTTTCCATGTTAAAACAATACTTTTCCTCTACAGTCATGCATTACTTAATGATGGGGATACATTCTGAGAAATGTGTCATTAGGAGATTTCATCATTGTGGGAACATTATAGTTTGTACTTGCACAAACCTGGATGATGTAGCCTGCTACACACCTAGGCTATGTGGTATATCCTATTGCTCCTACCACTATTGTATATACAGTCCATAGTTGACCAAAACGATGTTGATGGTGCATGACAGGTATTTACTTTTGAGGAAAAGAAATAGCACATGAAGTAAATTAGTATTATTGTAATGCATATTATAACTCTATCCTAGGACCACCACACATTTGAAAGCCTTTTCACAAGTCATACTAATCAATATACCACACCAGTTCCCAGCTTGGATTTGTTTCATTCACTTGAAAACATTCTACTCAAAACACAGACTTTCCACCTAGGCCATTTCCCTCTCCCCTGACCCCCCTGCCTTGTAACCTTGTCACACTTGTCTGTCAAGGCCTATTTTGAAACATCCAGTTGCTAAAGGATTTACAAAACTGCACCAAGCAGAGGTCCCCCCATTCTCTTCAGTTTTCTTTAAATGTATTCCTCACCAGGTTGGTCCTTTTTTCTATATCCCTTTCTTTCTTTTCTCCTCTTCACATTTTTTTTCTAATTCCTTCCTTTTTTTTTTTTTTGTTTTTTTATTTTAGAAAAATACATGCCCTTCTCCTAAACATGTGTCGCAAAAATTATGGACATCTAGAGACATGTTCCAAAATGAAAAGAGTTGCCCTGTTGAGAAGCTGGATTTCTGTCCATTTTATCTTCAGCTCCCACCTGCTGGGAATGTGATTTCCAGATCCATGTATATTTTGACAAATTTATCCTCCCCCAAACACTGTATATACAGGATTTTATATGAAGTTTATATTCTCCTTTGCATAGTCAAAGCATTCTTTTATTACAAGAGAAAAACAAACTAGATCAGATATTTTCAGATAATTTCAGGGAATATTAGCTTCTTATAGAAGCTATGTAATTGGTACCAATTCATATCTCTAGCTTATAGTATTAATGTACAAAAATAATTTTAGGCTGAATCAAAATAATATCTCTTTCCATTACATATCAGATATTTACAGTTGGCTCATTCTTTGGTTTGATAGGATTTAAGCTCATAGCACTGAAATGTCAATATAACATTCATCCTGAGGACATTTAAAATATAAAATTGCTGAAGACCTTTAAAGTGAGATAAGATGAGCTCACAGCTCCCTTGACAGCATTGTGCTGAGTCACTCTTTGTGCCTTAGTAAGTAAGCAGTTGAGGACAGGTTAATGTGTTCCTCTTCAACTTCTGTCTCTGTTCATCCATTCTCAACAAAAGCTTAAAGACAACTGCAAAGAGAAGCAAAAAAAAAAAAATAACTTCCCCAAAATAACCCCAGCTTCTACTAATAATAAATTGTTTCATCTGAAATATTTTAATAATTTGCTTAATCCGCCGTTTCACTCTGTGATTGTAGGACAAACTTTCGGTAATCGCATTGGACTAAGATTTGTAAACTTTCCAACCTTCTAGGAAATGCCCCAGAAGCAACAGAATTCACAGACAAAAGCAAAATACAGGGCACTACAGTTCAGACAACACAACAAGAGCATCCACAAGGTTGATCTAAAGGGAGCATGTTTCACAGTGGCCGGACTACCGAGAGCTTGGACTACACAATACAGTATTATAGACAAAGGAATAAGACAAGAGATCTACACATGTTGCCTTGCATTTGTGGTAATCTACACCAATGAAAACATGTACTACAGCTATATTTGATTATGTATGGATATATTTGAAATAGTATACATTGTCTTGATGTTTTTCTGTAATGTAAATAAACTATTTATATCACACAATATATAGTTTTTTCTTTCCCATGTATTTGTTATATATAATAAATACTCAGTGATGAGAAAAAATTGGCATTTTTAAATTTGCGGTATCTTATAACTATTAACATAATCAAACTAGTACAAATTGTACCGGTACTAGTATTTATCCTTCTCCACATCTTGAGACAGTGCATTAGTTTGTACAGGATTCAGTGGCTAGGTCTTGAGTGATTCCAAGATCGAGGGAAATGATGTTTATTGGAAAAGAAAAAAAATAATTTACTTTATATTGTGTGAAGATAAAATATTTCAGATCTTTGAATCATCTCTATTTCATCAACTTTTTTCCCTGGTCTTCCATTTTCATCCCCAGAGCAGAAAAATCTCTGGCATATAAATTAAATCAAAGAAGAAGAGGAGGGAAAGTGTTTTATGACTCATAAAGGAGAGGGAAAGAAGATATTGGTTTTTATTTGGGAAGCAGCTTAGAATCTCCCAGTTAAGTGAGTATATATCCAAAGGGTCCTGAGCAATTACATATTAGGTATATACACACCAGCAAAATCTTTTCCATTTAGGTGAGTGGAATTAACAACTAAGGGGTAAATTTAATAACATCACTAAATGTGAAACACCAAAACTGTCAATTCTTAAAAGAGCCTTGCTATATTTATAGTATGTGGTTCTCTAGAAAGAAGTTAGAATCACAACCAAATACCCCATGAATAGCTTTATGGCTAATGTAACATCATTATTTGAAATGGAAATAGGATGATGACAATATTTCAAGAAAACAGAAATATGTTTTGATCATATGTATATAATAAGGTGGAAAAGAACATCTTATATCATCAGAAAGATCTTAGTGGGAAGTTGGTCTGGATTTTCATTTGATTTGAGCATACAAATGAGTACGACCACTTTGGAAAAAAATAAACTGTGAAATTCTCAAAGAATAAGATGAAAATAAATCAAATAATTGCCTTATTATCATTTAGCTCTGTTTAGGTTTCCATGGCTAATATAGAAAATCTAGACAAAACTCTCTGTCTCCTTCAAATGACCTCCACATGGGCTAAAAAGAATGACACTCTTGTGTCCCAAAAATAAGACACAAATCAACATATTCTGAACATAAAATATTCAGTGAAAATTAAGTTTTGTGAAGTGATATTGAAGATATTTGTTAAAACATAAAAAATGGTGACAATCTGAATAGGATTTAGGACTGAAAAACCTGGCTTTCTAGGTAAGTCATCATTTTGAAAAGTGTTAATCTATTAGCAGAACCGTCACTCAAGTGTTTCCATAAATCAGTACTAGACTACTTGTGCAAGACAGATTCCTTTTAAACTTCTGCATGGAGATTTAGTTTGGTTAACAGTTGCAGAGAGGGCCAGCCCGGTGGCGCACTGCTACAGTGTGCCGCTTGGGAGCGCGGCGGCGCTCCCACCGAGGGTTCGGATCCCACATACAGATCTGCCGCTCACTGGCTGAGCGAGGTGCGGGCGCAACACCGAGGGTTGCGATCCCGTTGCCGGTCCCGGTCCGGTACGGGCGCGACACTGAGGGTTGGGATCCGTTGCCGGTCACGAAAAAAGACAAAAAGGAAAAAAAAAAAAAAAAAAGTTGCAGAGATATAACTAGTCCTGGTCTCCCTTGTAAGGTCGTAGTTGTGGCAAACGAACTCTTTCTCCCGCTAAAGGAAGAGAAGTAAATGCAACATCAACAGAAATTTGTAGGTTTTAAAAGAAAAACAATTCTTCTGACTTCTGCTTGCAAGAGTATGAAATAACTTACTTCGTTAGATACGGAAGCATTACTATATGTGAATTTTTATCAAAGAACCATAAACCTAAGTGTTGGAAAAGTCCTTGGAGTTAAAAATACAATACACTCCTGCCCACCTTCATGCTCACCCACCCATGAAGGAATCCCTTTTAAAAGACGCACGATGAATCTTAAGTGAGCAGCACTGTGTGCCAGACACTATTCAAGGTTCTAGGGAAATACAAATAAAACACGGTCTCTGCTCTCAAGGAATTCAAAATCTAGTCCTGATAGATAATCATCCAGCCTCTACTCATATATTTCTTATAATTTGGGATTTCATTCTTGAACAATTCTAATTTTTCAGACAATTCTTTGTCATATTTAGATGAAATTTACTTCTCTGTGGTTTCTATTCATAGCTCCTATTTTTCCTCTCTGAAATAAAGGAATAATGACTTATATATTTTTTAAAAAATCATGTTTCCCTGCTTACCCCATAGCCGCTCTGCAAGTTTTTTCTTCTCCAAGTAAAACATTTTTAATTTCCTCATCTGCTCTTCATGTGATATGATTTACACATCCCCCTAGTGTCTTCATCATCCTTCCTTGGGCAAACTCTACTTTATCAATAAATTTGTTGAAGTGCAGAGCTCAGAATTGCTGTCTACTACAGTTGTGGTCTGACCAGCACAGTATATCGTACAACTTGTAGAAAGCAAATCTGAGAGCCATGATTTCTAAATCCGAGTCGTACTTTGGCCACAAATTTGTTGTGAATCAAGACAAGCCATTTCATGTCTCAGATCTCTGTTTCCTCATTTGGAAGTTCACTTCTAACTCTGTAATACCAGGATTCCATACATTCAGAAAAATGTATATCTATACATTGAGTATTAGTATAAATATATACTATACTTTTAGTGTTGCTACCCAAGACCACATTAATTATTTTTGTTACTTTGCTCAACATAAATTCAAAACTCTTTTAAAATAAACTGCTAATAAGCCATGCCATTAACTTACTCATCCATTCATTCATTCCCTCATTCATCCATTATTATACATTACACATTTCCTGAGGGCCACCAATTACCAGCATCATGCTAGGCTATAAGAAGACAAAGATAAACAAAGCAAAGTCCCTGCCTAAAAGGAACTCACTGTCAGATCATGCTGCTTCCTCACATCAGATTTCACAGTCCTGTGGCAGACTGAGAGGTAAATTAAAAATTATAAAGAATGTAACAAAGGTTATGACACGGCCCGTTCAGAGTGCTTGGGGACCCTGAGGGAGGAACTTCCAGGCTGGGTAAGTGTTCTTTCACAGCAAGATGCACAGAGTGACCTCATCATTCTCCACGCATACTCTGACTTCTTGCTCCTAGGATTTTAAACATTCCTCATGCTTTCTTCATGCCTTTCTACTCTTCACAAAACCCAGAGCAAATAACAGCTTATCAGTGCAGCCTTCATAACTCCCTTGGCAGTCTTCCTAATTCCATCATGATACTTTCCGTGTTGTTCCTTAATTGTCAGTGCAAGGCTGTCTTTCCCTTGGCCTGGGAGCAATGAGAAGCCAGAAAATTAGTTCTTGGCCAATTGTTTCCACTTATTTCACAAACATGTATTGGGTGCCTCCACCATGCCAGACACTATTCTAGGTACCATGATGTAATAATGACATGGAAAACAGGTCTCTGCTCTCAGGCTTACATTCTAGCCAAAGACGTGACAGTTGGTGAGGGGAGACAATTTATCAAACAGTAAGCCAAATTGGAAAGTTTTAAGTTCTACTCAAAGAATTAAAAGTAGAACGAACTGGATGCCTCCAAAGTGAGAGTAATATTTAAGACTTGGCCTCTGAAGCAAGGCAAATATGGGTCCCACTTTAAGTTCCACTTTATTAACTATTTAACCTTGGGCAAGTTGCCTAGTTTTTTATGCCTCATATTTATAATGGAGAAAAGAATATCTTCCCATGCCCAATATGACTGGTATGAGAAATAAACAAGACAGTCCGTGCTTGTACTCAGAACAGTGACATGCACAGAGTAGACTTTTAATATATGGAAATTATTTTAGAGGGATATGATAAATATTTGTTGTAAAGTAAATAAATAATAAGAAGAGACCACATTTCATCAGTTAAATGATGCATAAGGGGAATCATATGGTCAGAGTTAGAAGGAGCTAAGCAATCACGCTTACTCAAAGGAGTGTCTCTCACATCATGGAGATAAGAGAGCTCATTTTAGTTCTAGAAAAATAAAACAATGCAGAGTTAAGAAATAATACAGTCCCTCTAATTTCTTTTTTCAAATGGGTCCACTAGTACTGTTCTGCACAAGAAGGGGATTATTCTTCTATTTTAAAATAAGTCTATCCTGATACAGTACATACCATTAAACCTCTTGTGTGTTTCCAGACACAGTGTAAGTCAATATTGCAGTGACTTTGCAGAACAAAATTCTTTACTTGCATGGATTCCTGAGAAGTCAGTGCAGACTACTGAAATATAACAGAGATTATCTCAAAGTCATATTAGGCTCTCTACTAATGTTTATCTTCAGATGCTATTTCCCTTTGCCAAAATTATGCACCACCTGCACCGACTGTTACTCTTCCTCAATTACAGTAGACATTTTAGTTATATCATCAGTCATCTGGATGTCAATAATAAAAGCTTTTTCATTGAATTAATTGATATTTTTATATGAGCATCCACAGGAAGCTCATATAAAAAATGGATAAAGGAAGGATGAAAGATTATATAAAGTAATGGGATTGGTTTTATAACCATGGCATAAACATACAAATGAACATGTTCTTTGAAACCAGCATCAGGGAGGGCTGTGTGACGTGCCATCCACCAGCCACATGCAGGCCACTGTGGATAGAAATCTACCTCATTGTGGACAGAAATCTTCCAGCCTCACTGTGGACAGAAATCTGCTTTACTGCTCCACCTGCTCTGGGAATGGGGCTTTGGTTGCATCTCTCTCCAGTAACAGGAGGTTTTATATTTTGGTTTTACTGGGGGTTTTTTTGGGAGCTATCTGGTACAGGGATCGAACTCTGGATCTTAGTGTTATCAGCACCATGTTCTAACCAACTGAGCTAACCAGCCAGTCCATCTCCAGGGATACTAAATTAGTTATTTCAACGGGTTATTTTGTACACTTTTAACTTTTTAATTAATTTTTACTATTTCTCATGCATCAGATAAGAAGTGAAGGAAATAATGCTTCCTTTTATGTTTCTAAGCCAAATTCAATCCAGGACAAGAACCTAACTAAGAGTTAATGGGAGGTTTA